AAACTATCAGAAGAGTCCATGTTGCTACAGCCATATAACCAGATGAATTATTAAATATTAGTCCTGTTTGAAGTTGGCAGAGCTCACAACAGCAGGTTCTGCCGACTTCACAGCTCAGGCTGGAGTTATATAAGCTGCGTACTGAAAGTGAGAGATGGGATGAGGCTTTTGCTAAAAGGAATCAAACCTGAGCGATAGTGCAATAGTGTACGGCCTGCTGGTGCAGAAAATGCGATAGATGTATAAGGGCTCTTTCAGGAATCATGATCTGCCCCTAAAAAACTGATTCCAAAAGAAAAAAAATCTGTGCCTTGAGTACAATTCCTATCTGCAGATAGGAATTATTCTAGACCTTCTCTCAATCAATACTTCAATACAGAGTAAACATGGCCGACCTGACACTTGTGAGCGTGATGCATGAGCCATTTACCAGACATCCTTAACTAAAACCATTAGCATTTATAAAGCTTCAGGTGCCACAAGGTTAATGACAAAAATCCTGTGAGTAAAGGGTGTACAGTGGAGAGATTAGCTGAGGCAGAGAAGCCCAGCTCCAGATTTCTCTTCATTTCAACAGCTCGTTCTGCAGGCCTTTGTGCTTAGGCAGGTTTGTAGGCCTTTAATGAGAGCTGGTGAGTGCTCCCCTGTGGCTGCAGCAGCAGGACAGTGTCCATACCTGCTGTGCTGGACACAACAGCTCATCTTCAGCACTCTATTGCATATAAAATCTTCAACACTCAGCCCCAACAACAATACTTGCTTTTATTAGATTAAGATTAAGAGATCCTTTTTTTGTCCCACAATAAGAAATCACAAGTTACAGAACCTTAGGAATGAAGAGCACACACCACAAGATAAATGAACAATAGTAAGTCATGTTTATTTATATAGCGCATTTTACAGACCAAGGTCATCCGAAGCGCTATACAATTGTTCAGAGTTCAGATTTTCCATTCTCTCCACACAAGGTGATGACGTAAGCGAGTCGCTGAACACACTGGCGCATCAAAGCCTCCGACCAAACACCATCCATTCACCCACTCATTACATTCAGACCTATTGTGCCTCTTTTTAGTGGTAAAGGAAACCAGAGCATCCGATCGGGATTTGAACCCAGGACCTTCTTGCTGAGAACGAGAGTGCTATCCACTCAGCCACTGTACCACCCGATACCACTATACTAATTAAAACAAAAAAAACAAAAACAAAATCTCTAACTCTAATATAAAGAAACAAGTATAAAATCTTTATCTTTAACATAATAAAGAAGTAAAAAATCTCTAAATGTGAAACAAGCCTATGCTGCCATCTATCTACTATAAACAAAAAGTATCTGATTTGATAAAAGACAGGAATAAAGTGGTGAATTTGAGTATACTGGAAGCTCATCACAAAGTATTGGCCTTTAAGAGCTTTATGTCACTCATGTCAGGCAGAGTTACTGATCCTCAGACAGGCCAGACTGAATACTACATTACAGGTTTAGTGGGTGCTGTGGAATGACAAATGATCAAAAGGCTAGTTTGTGAGTGTGTGTACGTGTGCGTGTGTGAGAGTGCGAGTGCGCGTCCGTGTGTGTGTGTATCTGGCAGTATTTGTGTGCGTGTTATTACTTCAAGAAGTAATAAGCTTTTGATTTATGTGATTAGAATGATTAATACTCAAAATAGTATTGATATTAGGGCTGGGCGATATGGCAAAAAATGAAATCTCGATTTTATTTCCTGCTTCAAACGATTTTGATTTTAAATTGATTTTCATTTAAGTCACCAAAGACAGACTTTGCCCTTCAAAATATTTTTCAGCTCAATATTCAAGTTTCAAAACAATTTTTAATTTGTTTCCCCTAATACGTATTATACAAGTTTTGTCCAGACTGTGCTGATATGGCAAGTGGCAACTCTCACAATATCCTTCATTCGAGTTCACAATTTTAACATTTTTCCCAAATTCGATTTTTTTGAAATGTAATTTTATAGGAATGTTGACAGAACTAAAACACAGACACTTTAACCTGTATTTAACCAAACGCACAAAAAACAATTGATCAATCAAACTAAATTCATCTAATGGCTCAAAGAAATTTGGTACATAGTGTCAATTTGCAATTGCCATATTGAACAACTCAGTTATGGACATTATAATTCACAAGTGTCAAAACTAAATGAACCAACATAATTCTAGTGTTGTTGTCACAATATGAATGTTGTAAACAGTCAACTAGAATCAAGAAAAGCATCCTTCAAAGTAACCCTAGCAAGAAACAGGACTAAAGTTATGTACCCACCCACTGCCCATCATACGTCACTTTACTTCACTGTACTACTGTCACCTTACATTGTGTGCACCATGTGCACTTGTATATTGTAAATAGTAACTGTAACTCTATTTTCATTTTAAATTTATTCCTTAGAAGTGTTTTTTATTCTTTTTTTAATTTTATTTGTATTATCTCTTTCTGACTGTTGCACTGAGCCAAAGCAATTTCCAAGTCTGTGACTTCCTGTTACTTATGTGGCAATAAAAATGATTCTGATTCTGATTCTGAAAATGTGTTCCTTGAGGACATTCTAAAATAGGTTTTTAACAAAGGTTCTTGCACAAACAAATACTAGACAAATCTCTCCTTACTTTAGTTTTCATGACTAAACATTAGAATATTTGTAATCCTACAGGAACACCTCTCACCTTTAACACCTTTAATGCAAGGACCAAGCAGGTGAACACTGAAGCCATGAATATGGCTTTTATTTTTAGCACCGGTGATTATTATGTCTGAGTATTTGAGCTCCCAGCAGCTAGTGCTTTGTCACTCATGTTGTGTACGGTGTGCATATGCCCTTGATTCAGCAGTAGCAGAGACAGAGTAGGAGCAGTGCTGGAGACAGCTTTCACTGTTGTTCAATGCTTACACATTTGTTTGAGCTGTCTCAACTGAATCATGAATATCACTGTGATTCAGTTGAGAATCACAGTGTAGAGTATATACAGTAGATGGAAAATATTTTTAGCAAAGGAAACTGTTTTTTGTATATCCAATTGAGCATGCACATGCTACAAAAAATGATTGATATTTCTTAGTTCAAGTTCCTCAAGCTCTACTTTGATGCCCAATCAAGAATTTCAAGGCAATGACGAATGAATGAAACTGCTTCCAATTTCTGAATAGCATACAATTGCTCCAATAAATCATCACTCTCATTAACCACTTCCAGCCTTGGACCTGGTAGCTGGCAGTCAAAATCAGTAAAGCCTATCCACCCAAGTGTATATATGCTGTATAGAATAACAGATTTTATCGTAGAGCACCAATTTTATTCATTTTTTAACTGCTTTACCTGCAAATCGGGACTTTTGGCACATAGGTTGCAAACCACATATTATGTTTATATTGTTGAATTTTACAACATGAGAAGTTGCTGGTTTAATATTTACAACATGAGTGCACACTCACCTTTTTCAGAGCTGACATCCTAGTTGGATCCCAGCTCCTGCAGCTCCTATCCTGAAGTGAAGTCCCGAGCCGAGTTTGTAGGTTGCGCAGGCCGGTGCTGATGCTGAGCCATGAGGCTGTTTGGTATTCTCATGTCGCCTTCGCTCCACTCTCCTCCTCCACAGCTCCACTGCTGCCCGAGCGCACGCCCCAAAACTGATGTCATTCAACACAAACGAAGAGCTCAGGGTTTCTACATAGAACTTCTACTACACACATATTATTATAGATCCACATTTTTAGACAGAACAAGTGCACATGCCATTTTTGTAATACTGCTCTACGCAAGTTAAAAAATAGTGACAAATATTTTACGCTAGATTAGATTTAGTAATATTACAGCTGTCTGGTTGTTATGTAAAATCAAGTTTTCACAAGCACGGTCTCCTAAATAGAAACTAAGGCCCAGTCCCAATACCCACACTGCACCCTACGCCCTCCTATGAAGTGTGCATTTGTTTGAAGTGCGCGCAAGGGTTTGAGTGCGCAGGTTGCAAGTGTGCACAAAAGGCGGAATTGGGACAGTGCACACTGAGTGCAGGTTACGTCATCGACTCGTCAAGAGATGGTCATTTTCAGACCTAAACTTTATAAAAATTAAAGGTAATTTTGTCTGACCCTTTGGGAAACAAATTGAATTGCTTCACACACGTTAAAATACATGTATATTAGTGTTTTTTAATTAGAGATAGCTGTATAATTTTAAGTTAAATGTGGGTAACTAACTATCTGGTCAGTTTTTATACATTCTAAGATTATTGTACTAAGTGTAAAGTTTAAATTGAATGTTATATAAACGCTTGGTTTAAAACGTTATTAAATTGTTAAAACACAATGTCCGTAATTCTTCATCAGACGTTTATGCTTCTTTCCAAGTAACATAGCAAAACTTATTTACACACATACAGCATATATATTTCAAAATGTATATTTAAATGCATTTTCCCGACGTTTTGGTGTGTACCGCAAAGAATTATGGGCAATATCCTTCGCCAGAGTGCGCATAGATGCAGGCTACGGCGAAGTGTGGATCAGGGGCGCAAAGGGGGCGGGGCCAAAGACCTCCCTGGAGAATTGGGACACCCTACGCACTCGCACACTTTATCGGGAACGCGCAAATGAGGGGCGCGAGGGTGGAAGTGCGAGTATTGGGACGGGGCCTAAATGCATACAAATACTATAAAATTACTTTGATAAAACTCCAGGCAAAACCGGATCCCACGTTGTTCGTTTCGACTTCCGGTTGGACTGTGACAACAATCGGTAAAAAAAAAAAAAAAAAAGACCAGTGTCTAGAAACCAGTGTCTATTATTTTACTCTATATTTGTGTGGATTTATTTATTTTTGGAACCACCTTTTGCTTTGTGGTCAATGCGTTCCGTACTGTTTTTGAGCCTCTTGCGTAGACTGGATGGCTACTTGTTAGCTACGTGCTAACTTAGGTAGCCTAGCTTGTTCCCCTCCCACAGTTGTATTCAGTTTGTCAATAGTTTGTTAATTTTTCCAATGGCAGTGAGGAAAGAAGGTGAGTATATTAATTCACCCTCTGATCAAATAAAGTGTATATAAAGTCAAATAAAAAATAATTTTAATTTTGAATTTGCTAACTCCTGCTCGACACCATTTACACATTATACATTGTAATGTAATCGTTTTACCGTTCTAAATGTAATCTTGCAAATGTATGCATATCCTGATTACAACCTCTCTTTACTTGTGAGCTAATGGAATATGGTTGTACTGAACTTACAAACAATTCACAATCTATGACTCCAAGCACTGCATTTGAAAATCTTCTCCCCAATCCACATCCTTCTTTTTCTGCAGTATTTCAATCAAAGGTTCTCCGGAAGCTATATGCCAGTGCACCAACGCTACAGAAGGAGTCTACCTGTTCAACACTCAACACAAATGATTGCACGAAACTTACAACCAAGAAAATCCCATCAGAAAACTCCAGTACAGGTATTAAGATTACAAGATCCTTTATTTGTCACAAATAGCGGGGAAATTTCAGTGTTGCCACCAGTCACAGAACAGTAGGAATGAGGAACACACAGCACAAGAAATGCATAATTAAACAATATATATTATTGTATTACGGCCAATTTTTATGTAATATGATGTTTGTTTTTTTATAGGAAACGCCAGCACTCCTGCCAAGCGCATATATACTGTCTTACCTCCTCCAGCAGACTACAAGACACATGCTGAAAAATCTGTCACACTGCCTGCACCTAAAACCCAAGTGAGTGCAGAAGACCCAGCTGGTGAGTGAATTACTTTAATTATGAACTCCTCTCCTCCATAAAACCTGTTTATAATCGCCAGGGTGGTTTTATGTTTATGATACAAAGTAACTTGGGGTGCTATAAAATTTGTCAGATCAAACGGTGTGCATCATGTTCTTTAGACTAAGATTGACTCTACTTTGTGAAATTCAAACTTTTGTCTAGTTTCATATATACTTTTGTTTGTCCTTTTGTTTAAAAATTGGAGGACAATGTACGCAGTGTTTGTCTTATAAATAAACATGTATCTTTTGCACAACGAGCACTGTTCAGTTAAGTTAGGGCTAGTACTTTTGTTTATGGAAAAAAACTAATCTATAATATGTGCATGAGAAAACTAGTGATGGGACCAATCTGTTTTGACAGCTAGGCACTTGTGTTTTGACACATTTTAAGTTTATTGGTAGGTAATTTGATGTGGTTTCAAATTTGGGAACTTCAGCTTTAACTGTTCTTTTCACTTCGCCAAAAGTAATGTAATTTCTTTTCTAAACAGACGTTAAAAAATTGTCACATGTGCTTTATTCAGACTTGAAAATATATTGCAGAAAAGAATGAAGAAGACAGCAGTTGTGAGGAACATCAGGCCAAGGATCATGAGGAAAAAAAGAGGAGGAGGAGGCGGAAGAAGCAGAAACATCATACACCTGGTCTCAACCAAACCAAATCTGTAAACGAGGGAGAGGAGCGACTGAGCAAAAATAAAAAACGGAAGCTGAAAAAGAAAAGGCACAAGGAGAAGCTTCTCTCCATGGGTCTGCTGCCACGAGCTGCTGCTGTCGAGTTCATATACCAGAGAGAGGGTCCAGAACCTGGGCCAGAGCCCGAGCTGGGAGCAGATGAAGAAATTGAAGAACTGGACTCCACAGGGACTGCATAAGTGAGAAGGTAGGTCGAGAGGTCAGATGTTTGCGTAAAAAATGTGTTTATTAAAAAAACACATCAGAAATTATCCATAATATAGCATATGTTTTATCATAATGTATGTTAACCCTTTAAATATCCACTAACTTTTAAACTTTCTATCCAAGGCAGGTTTAATGCCTCGCACATCTTTCTGGTAAGATGGACGGCTCTCACTCAGATGGCCGTCAAACACTTCGTACCCTGGAACCAAGAATTGCAGTAATCCCTGAGGACTTCTTGGAAGGCTTCCCCTTGTTTGATTGTAAGTCTTGCATTTTGTTTGTTGGGATTTGCGTGAAACTTGCCCCGTCATGTTAATACTTGCCTTTTATTGTCGATGCTTGCCCCAGTGTTTGTGTATACTGTTGATCTCTGTTGTTCACATGTCTGTACTAGTCACTATGAGAAAACCATCCAACCTGAGTCTGAACTAGCATGTTTGAGCTTGTTCATCATGCTTATTACTTGAGTAGAAAAAATCTGATTCCCTGGACACGTTGTACCTGTATATTTGTGGCTGTGTAATGTGATCACTTGGGAGTTTACTGCTTTCCGTGAGCATTCAAGCAAGGTGTGTGAATCTTATTCATTTCATGTCATTTATTCATTTATTTTAAACCTGCAGGTGTATACAAACGGAAAAACAATAATACAAAGTCCACTTGGATTGAAATCTTTTCTTTTAAAACGTACTAAACGGGGAGGGGGGATTTGGGCATTTTACTACTGCATTGTAATGCTCCAGAAATAATAGATTTTTATTTTGAAGTAGGGCTGGGCAATATGGAGAGAAAAAAATATATTGTGATTTTTTATTTATTTATCTCGATATAAACACATTTTACATATTACCTATTAGGGCTGGGCAATAAATCGAATTTTGGCAATTAATCGGCTTTTGAAAAAATCGAATTCGTGAAAAATGTGAAAATCGTGAAATCGAATGAGGGATATTGTGAGAGTTCCAGCAGCACATCAATTATACTTGCGATATCAGCACAGTCTGTACAAGACTTTTATAATATGTATTGGGGGAAACAAATAAAAAAATAGTTTTTAAACTTAAATATTGAGCGGGAAGATACAAAATATTTTAAGGGCAAAGTCTGTCTTGAGTGACTTTAATGAAAATCGATTTAAAATCGACATCGTCCAAAGCAGGAAATAAAATCGAGATTTTACTTTTTTGCCATATCGCCCAGCTCTATTACCTATTCTTCTTTCATAATTAAAACGACTCAACTCTGTAATCTTTGTTGTTGTTTTAGTTGCGTATAAAGTTTACAGTCTCTGATATACAGCCATGTTGTTCCATGTCAACAAAAAGTGTCATGTCACCGCTGTATGAAATACAATCTGCGATTCTACGCTGCACCACATTTGCAGGGTCAAATCTTTACATCCATACGAACAAAATATTACAATACTCAGAGGATGCATGTCCCACCTTTTTTCTTACATTTTTAATGAGCTTTTTTGTGCATAATCTTCTTCCGATCAGGCTGCAAATTTATTAGAAAGTACACTGCATGCCGCTTGTAGATTTAATTCTAAACTCATCTTATCGGACTGGCGCCCGGGAGGTTGTCGCGAGAGTGGCGACGGCTTTCATTGTTGCTTGCGGCTTTATTATTATTATTATGATTATTGACACAAGTCATCATAGTTTGTGTAAGCCCTCAGTCGTACAGGGATTAGTCAAAGCAAAGGAAGGTTTCTCACCCATCATCTGTACTTCTTAGCAAGTTTTCCCTTGCAAGGAAAACTTGCTAAGAAGTACAGATGATGGGTGAGAAACCTTCCTTTGCTTTGACAAGTCATCATAGTTTCTCCAATAGCTCAAGTTGACTGTGTAATATCACTGAAGTATCACAAATTATTATATATAAACTCTGTATTTTCACTGAAGTATCACAAATTATTATATATTAGACATTTCATTCTAAAACACATGTGTCAAAGTCAAGGCCCGCGGGCCAAATCCGGCCCGCGAATGAATTTTACATGGCCCGTTGCCTGCCATGGACGCACTACTACGTCAATTGCGTTTTCCGCTATTTTCATGTTCCCAGATGTCTATTATATCTAATATGTCTGGGGATAAGCTTGAGAGCATATTGAATCGAGCCAGCAGGTGGCAGCAGCGCTCTCTGAATGGTTTGAAAACAGCTAGATGCACTTGTTGTACCTCTTTTTTCTCAGCTTTTTGGTGATTTCAGTAAAACTTCCCTCTACTCAACTGGGGATTACAAGCTAGAAACAAAATTCTTTTTGCTGATGAAAGTAGACAATCTATTCTTTCAGAATCTGGTTTCGGATTTCAGATATTTCATAGTACACAATATTTTGTGGGTCTTGAAAAATCTATAAAAATCATCAGAAACTGCTGGCAATATGGGAGTACCTGTTCTGAAATAGGCTGGCAGGCAATGAGGTAATAAACATTGAACCAGTCCGGCCCTCGGCTCGCAGAAAATTTGTTTTTTTGGCCCTCTGATGTATTTGACTTTGACATGCCTGTTCTAAAAGGACAATTTATGTTTGCCAATTTTTATGCTGGATGACAGGAATGAGATTCTTCCAGAAATCTATTCAAATATATATCTTTACCAGACAGTCCAAGCTTCTAGGGATGACATTGAAGGGGAAACAAAAGACGTACAACATGTGTGTATGATAAATGACAAGCTTTGAAAGCATTCTATTTCCGTATGAACTTGGTCCTTGAGGTAAACCTATAATTGTGTTAATCAGTGGAATTTAGTGCCTCCCTGGGTGTATCTGACCTGCTCGTGGACCTGTTCTTATTCTTTTACACAAAGTTGATGCCAAGTGATAGAGTTCAGGAAAAGGCTAGGGAATTAATTCAATTGGACAGGGTCAATGGACTGACTTTTCACCATGGTCAAGCTTTATACTAGCAGCCTTAGAATTACATTGGCTGCTGTCAGGATAACAATCGACCATATTCTCACATTAAGCATTCAACGTATATATTTACATAAAACAGAAATATTAGATGGTGTGTCAAAATAAATCTAGGTAAAGAAATGGGAAAATTGGATTCTCGGACAAAATGAAAAAGGTTGCGGATGGTGCCCTGTCTGGATATACGTTTTATTTAGTTAGGGAGTCTGTGATATCAGCTTTGAGGCAGGGAAAGATATTGAAACCTTGAAGATTTGCTGACAGGAAAGAAACCTCTATATCAGGAGAAGTAAATGCAAAACTTCAAACTACTTTTACTAAATAGGCTCCTTCAAAATTGGATTGTTGCAAAGAAAGATAAAAATAAATTGGCGTGTCCAGTCCTGCATGAGTTTGGCATAGCTTGTCCAGGTGCCAATAGAGGTAATCTACTTAGATACCACCTGCAGTCAGTGTTATGTAAAGACAAATGCAGACTTTATAAGACTGAGCCCAGTGTTGTAGTTACACATTGGAACACGGGCAAGGACTTGATCAGGACTGACCCTCTCCAGTGGGCTTCCTGTCCTGGGGTCCAGGAAGAGGGGCCCTGAACCCTGAAACATGTTCTTCACACTCCCACGACTGACTCCAGGCTACATCAGACTGCTGCAGGTGAGCTTCAGGACACTTCCCTTCACTGGTGTAACAAAGTAATTCTTTGTAAATGAATTTTGGGAAGAATGCAACCGAAGCAATAATTTTAAATGTTGTAGTCATTAACATGTTTCTGTACTCTTCTATTCTAATGAACTGATTTTAAATGAATGTTCTGGGATTAGGTTTTACTTCATGTTATGTTGTTTTTTTAGATGCCCTGTGTTTATATAATCAAACTGGACTTGCGTTTCATTTTCTCAGAACACACAACATGAGTTATATGAAGGAATTTATTTTTTATAATGTTGATAATTTACTTAACTGATTAGAATATTTTGAAAACTCACTGTAAGCCATCATCGTGATAACAAAATCGCATGTGTTGGTTTCACAATTTGATCAAGATTGCAATTTTCCCAGTTTCTGTAACATAATTCATAAGTTGAAACAATGGCAAAAACATACAAGATAAAGTTTACATTAAAACTTCACCAGAGCTGTTCCTTTCATATCTGAATGGTTTTGAGGACAAAGTAACGAAGCAATGAAGCTTTATGTGTCCCTCCAGAAATCTATTGGACAGAATGATGAAACGTCAGGAAAGAGCCTTATACGTAAACTCCTCCACTCCGAATATGAGACGGCAGCTTTGGTAATTGCAAGGTGCTTTGCGTTTGAGGTCATAAAGCACAATCATTACTATGTCAGTGTTTTTCACCAACAACGGCAAAATGGGAGCTGGCGACATAGCATTGCGTAGCGAATGGAAATGAGAAGTGGATGGGTGAGCGATGGGAATGGTCTATTTAACTGCAACACCGCCCCATTAGAAAGTATGTTGCTATTATGTGCGCATCTTTGGTCTGCATTATTGTCAAGGGCTCACTGAGGAAATGGCCCATATCACAAAACAGATGAGGTTTTTTATTCGGCAGATAAGTTGTTTCACCATTTGGCAAATGAGGGTGAATGGGTTTTTAATCGCCAAGGCTTTGGTGGCGGCACTGCATGGGTCTGAGGAGGGCATCTTGCATTTTGACACATCACTGCGTTTGGATGGAGTGAAGGCTTGGCTCTGTTTAATGCGACCTAAAATACTGCCGTGATTTCTTGTGGAGCACATAGTTTCATATGTCTTTTTAATCTACTGTTTGTTGTTTGTTTTTTTTCTTTACAGACGTACCATAATGTGGCAGTTGCACGCCCACTTCAAAAGCCTGCCCCAGGTTTGGCCATGCTCTTGGGGGCCGTGGGGATAGGAGTGTGTGGCTACAGCTCCAGGCAGCTGACGATGAACCACAGACCGTCGTCCCGAGTGCTGAGATGGGGTTTTCAAGAGATCCTTCCTCCATCCTTCGCGGCTCAGAAATTTGCTGTTGAATAGAGGCATATATGTATTTATCTATAAGATTAAGAGATCCTTTATTCGCCCCACAGTGAGGAAATTTCAGTGTTGCATCACAAGTTACAGACAGTAGGAATGAGGAGCACACATCAAAAGATAATTTCATGATTACGCGTACAAAAATAAAATAAAATCTCTAGCTTGCATAAAAATAAGGATTTTAACATGTCTGCCTTTAGCATATTGTGGAAATGCATCCATTCATACATAGTTATAGCAAAAGATGCCACACATACGGCGTTCTAGCCAATCTAATCTCAACTCCTGATTGAGCTTTTCTTACATGTTGCACCAGCTAATTATAGAAAAGTCTTAAAAACACAATCTTAAGCACATATTCACAACAGTGCTCCAACATTTAGGCAGTCTTACATTGAAATACACACATACACGGAGGCACATATTAGTATGAGTGTAGAGCTGCAGACATAATGGTTGAGGTCCAGGACTTTTACAGTTATGTAGCACATTGTAAGATCGTAGCGATGCTGGCCCATTGTACGATGCGGCCCATATGCTCTCTGTCAATGTGCTATGTGTGATGTTACAGACTTGAACCTGCGTGTCTTTAAATGTGGCATGTAGTGATGTAATCTTGTAACTCAGGCTGTGTTCATTAAAAATGTCTGTGATGGGCACTGCTGCGTGGATGAATACTTGAGTGATGTGATGATCTTTGCTGAAAGTGGTGTAAATGAACAAGCGTGTTGCATTGTGGCAGTCTTTTGAAGGCTGGCACAAAGAGGGACAGGCATTTGGCAGAAGCCCCCCCCCCCAAACACTGCACAGATGGTTGGCAACTCAAATTTCTAGTTCCCCCCCATTTGGGTTTGGGCCTGTTGCCATGTGTAAGTGCTTGTGTTGTCCAGACCTGTGATGACTTTAACTTTCAACTGATTTCACACCAAGGAAATGTAGGTGTCCATAAAAAGGTCTTGGATAATTGTGTGTTGGGAAAAAAGTAAGTACCATAATGGGTATTGGTTAAAGAATGGATATTATTGGGGAAGAAATACATTATTTTTAATCTTATCCATAGACATTTTCCTTGGCTCGTTACATGATAGCAGTTAAACATATTTGAATGTGGTTCTTACAAAGTTACAAAATAAAGAAAAATACTATAAATGATAATGCCCTGGCAAGACAAATGCTCTTGGCCATCTACAATGCCTGGTTTCATTCTATTTTCAAGACTTTGAGCTGAACATTCTTTAAATTGTTACATGTTTATTTGCATTGGAATGCAGTATATATAAGAAAATAATATGAAGGCACCTGTGCCTTTTTTTTAAATAGACATTTTGTTAGAGCCTAGTTGGATTAAACTGACGTCGTGAGAAAGTTCAGTGACTGGTTAGCCAGGACTTTTAATCCATAGGTTAGACCCTGGCCGCCATTTCAGCCAAACTTCAAACTGGCAGAAAAGTTAGAATCTATAACTGGCATTCTGTAAAGCACTGTAATAAAGAAAAACTAAATTGCGAAATGCATTTTTTTTTTACATGTCTTGATGCTTACTAAAATAATTATTCATTTCAAACTGAAATATATCAGTAATATAGGTACATAGGTACTTACATAGTGGGCCAATGTTGAATGTTTTATTTCTGAAAAGTTCTAAATATGCTACATGCATATTACATGTGATCATGTTCGATAATTACTAATCTGTACACAAATATTTCTTAAACAAGACTTGTTCAACCAAAATGTATTCAAGAAACAAAACAGTTACTCCAGCTTTAAAAAGATAAGGCCGAAGTCGTAGTTCCGTGCGCCACCCAGCGGCAGTAGATGAAAGTGCAGTCCTGCTCACTGGCGCTTCGTTTGGGTCGATGGTCACTGCGCGTGTTGTGTGCTCAGAAGTCGGGGCATAGTTCATTTAATTTCGAACATACTTTCCCCTGAAGAAATAACGGAGTAAATGAAAGTTTCCCCGAGCCTGTGAGTTTGGACATGCATAAAAGTGAGCTTCCAGGCGGCAGCGGAGGGACACAGCAGCACCGCGGAGGCTGAGCCAGGGACGAGCGGAGGAGCGAGCTGCTGCAGGCGGCGTGGACCCGAGGCACAGCACCAAACTCTGGAGGTCTGTTTTACCGTTTTAATCTTAAGTTAAAATGGTAATCTCTAAATGCATTCTCTGTGCTACATATTCTGTCACTACTGGATTAACTTGATCCAAACTTTTGACATGTTAAAGTTAAAGCTATCATTGATCCACCCACCATCGGCAACACTGTAGCCTCCCGTTATCAGACAGAAAGTAGTGGCTCTGATTGTGATTGTTTTACGTCTTATCAGTGGCTTTTCGCTCAAGTTTGAATATGCAATCTACAGTTTTAACTCTAGACTTTAACCCAAAAGCATGATCATGTTGTTTTTGCTCCTGTTGTGTGGCGTCCCGCCGTTTTCAATCCTCTTTTATCACAGAGCCCACGATGTTGTGTCATAGTAAAGAAGACCAGCCTTTGTTCATTATTTGAATCATGTTTCCTGCTATGACTGTGTGCAGGTCATCTCCACGGAACGCTGTACTTTGGCCCCAAGGAAGAGAGGAGTGGGCACCTGCTGTTTGGAGCTAAACTTGTTTTGGTTGTAACAGAATGGGCAACCTTTCCTCCAAAGACTGCCACCATGGAACAACGGGTAAATTCAACTGTAGTCCAATTTAGAGTTTTCAGTTCCTTGAGATGTCTTAGGAAAGAATCCAATATCACCTAACTAAAAAGAAAATAATGGGAGAGGATTAGAAACACTGTTTTTTTAGCTCGTTTGATTTTCTCTCTAGTCTCTTTGATGAGAATGACTTTGTATTGTTGATAAAGGCTACAAAGTTTGATGTTTGCTTCAGTTACCGCTTGTGGTGTGCCATATAATTATAGCCAATGAACAAGGTGTGCCACAGCTCAAAAAGTTTTGGGCTCACTGGCCTTAACCTTTTGTATCTACTCTGCTTTGGAAAAAAATGCATCAGCTAAACATAATATCTCTTGAAGTTGATAAATATATTGTTGTCTTAAAGTTGTCCTTGATTCATACTTGATATATTCATACTCAACCTCATATATTGGGACAGACTAAGCCAGTGTTCCCCAACCTTTTTAGCCGTGGCACAACTTTTTCATTGAAGATAGTTACATGCAAACTGTTCGAATGTTTGAAACATGAGACTGCAGTTTTTTTGTTTTTGTTTTTTTTAACAAAGCTAAGTCATTCCTATCAAAGTGTATTATTTAGAAAACAAGACACGCAAGATGGTCCAGGTTGGATTACACGTCTAGGCCTTTCTGTGTGGAGTTTACATCTTCTCCCTGTGCCTGGATAGGTTTCCTCCAGGTGCTCCAGTTTCCCTCACCACTAAAAACGAGTACAATAGTCCCCCATAACACCATCCCCGACCTCACTCCCGCTCCCCCTCTCTGGAGGCCAGGACTCCCCTGGTAAAGCGGTTCTGCAATCGCAGTGGGACTTTCCTGGGTAAATAAAAGTCAATAACTTAAAAATGGAAAATCAAACGAGCGCAAATCTTCTCACATTATTCAGTTCTCACATTATTTTGACCAATCAAGTGATATTGGATCATTTCCCAAGGCTCACCAAACAACAACTCAAGGCAAACAAATGTAAAAACATAGAAATGAGCTATGGAATTGTGTGGATGTGTGCGAACTCCTGCCGCTCTCAAAGTGGTCATTCTCCTTCGGTTCTTGTCCTGTCTGCACCAGCTGATCATTGCGCAAAATTCTGCTAACACAAGAGCACAGGATTTACTCATTGGAATTTTAATACTGACTGACACACTCTCTCGCATATGTCGAAAATGCCCACACACATTGGCCGGTTTTGTCGTCCCCTCTACAGTGTAAGCCTGGGCAAGCACTCTGGATCGGAATGAAGCAGTTGAATGCCAGAATGACTCAGGCCTATTGAGAAAGTCTAGTCTGTTGCGTGTATAGTGATTTGACCTTAAGTTGTTTCAATGAATAAAAAGTGACGTTTTGCCCAAATAAAGTAGTAAAAGGAGGAAAGGAGTGATGCATTGTTGTTCATGGGCCTCTGAAAGGGAACACTGTGGGGGAGAGAAAAGAAAAATGTTATGTTTGGGGTATTTAAGGGCTTTAGCTGGAAAACGTCTTGTTTAAGCAAATATATTATTCGTGGTTTATATGTGACTTTTGGATGTTTTTGTAATACGCTCACCCTTTCTATTATCCATGTGGTTTTAAAGCTGTGGTACTTAATTACTTCAGTTTTCTTATTTGTCCCAACAGTCTTGTAAAAGAGTACGATGAAATCCGACCACTACATGCCGTCTTCGCCTTATTAGAACATTTTTTTTGACGCTTTGGGTTGATTGGCTGAGTCAGGGTGGTCCTCTTTACACTGTTCTGTCTGAAAGTTGATTGAAAGCTGTGACAGAGGCCAGAATAAGTCCATCTTGTGACATGTAAATTTCTCCTTTGTGAGATAAATAAAGCATATCTTATCTTATCTTGCGCTCAAACCAAACCGTTTTAGAGCCATGAACTCACAACATGCATTACAGGTGAAACTCTGAGAACATTATTCAAAAGTTTATTGATTTCTGTAATTGAACATGAAACCAATGTATGATACAGACTCAGTACATGCAAAGTAGATAGATAGATTGGATAGATACTTTATTGATCCCCGTAAGAGAAATTTAGGTGTCCGGTAGCAGCAGAAATGTAACCAGGCATCCACACACACAAAAAAAAAAATTCTGAAAGTAGCTTACAATAGTATTTTGCATGCAGTACCCAATGATCAACATAATAAAAAAGAAGCTCTGTGTGTATATATCTCTTACATCTTCAACTAAAATCGGTCGTAAATTAGTTTCACGCTGTAAGTTGAATTGCAAAAGTAAATGGACTTTTGAATGATTAGTCTAATATTCTGAAATTCACCTGTATAGCAAAGTTCAAATTTCTTGTAGCTTGAAAGGTAGGTAGGTAGTGAAACATTATCCCACAGTGAAACTCCACCACGTAATTTTGCTTCCTGTATGAACATTTGTATATTCTAATCTGTTCTGTCTATATTCCAGGCCAACGCACAGAAAGCTTCCACACACCTCCTGCTTCACCTCAAGTGGAAAACCCATCCCCTACATCCAGTGTTCCTTCTTCTCTGACCTCTTCCAGTACACTTTCATCACCACTGACACCACTTTTCCACACACCCAGTGGGAAAAAGGCCCACTTAACGTCCCTCTCATCTCCTGCCAGCTCACCGCCACCTATCCCAACTGAACGGAAGCCTCACTCCCCAGTTCAATTCAATACCTCCAACGCATTTCCCCGCAAGTCAGGAAGTAGCACTGGGAACAAAGCACAAATTACAACGAGTAGAAATGGCGCTCCGCAGACGTCCACCCCAAAAGCCTCGGCCTCGCATGAGAACTGTGCGGATTTCGGACCGACCAAGAGCTCTCCGGTGGTGCGCGAGTCTCTGGATTCGGCCTGGAAGGAGAGGGACAGCGGGGTCAGCCAGTCGCCGCCACATGTCCAGGACGCTGTGGATGAGGACTGCCGGGTTCTACTGGAGGAGTGTAGAACAGCACTGAGTATGGATACAGATGAGACCGGAGCCTTAAGCCCTACAGGTAAACGAGACTTTCAAACCTTCAAGAATGAGGGGTTTTGTAGTTCTATGTACCGGGTAATGTTGTTTGTAAAAAAGACTCGTTGTGGTTGTAAGTAATGGGGATAGAATCAAAATCACTGTTATGGTGGCTGCAATAAGCAAATCGCAAAGAAAAATCCTCATCTTATAACAATCTGACGTCCCTGTATTTAAAGATTAAAAAGTATTTATACTTTTTATGAATTTGTGTGCTTATATCTGCCAAAGTCGGGTCATGTTATGCCTTGAGCTGCCTTGTGTATAAACGGTGCTATACAAATCAGCTTGTCTTAAATTCTGTATGCACCTAAGAGAATGTAAGTGAAAATTGGGATTGTATTGATAGTACAACTTTTAAACTGTTTTCAGGTTTTAGTTTTCCCTCAAATTTGAATTCTCCTCCTAGTGCACTTTGAACACTTCATAAGAAATCACAAATCGGTTCACATCAAATGTTTTATCTTCTCTTTTGAGTTTTTGACCATAACTTAGTTTTGCTCTTGCATCAAAAACAATGCTCCATCTTTTCTGATATGAGGGGCCGAATGGGCACAAACACTGTTATCTTGAACCTCTGACAATATTAAAGAATGATTACTGAATACTTTCTGATCTTTCTACAGACGCACTGAGGCATCTACTATCAGAAGTAAAAAGCATGAAGCAATCCCTGCAGGTAATGACACGAGAGAGACATGTTTGCCTTTAGAATTCCCATTACAGGGTGTGTACCTTTTCTCATTTGTAATTACTAGGAGATTTGCTGCACACGTTTAAATGAATAATAAGCATTTCCTTGTTTAAATATAGCACTGTAAACAGGAAATTCACTTAGAGTCGGCCTAGTGCGTATAACTTTTCATCCAGGAGATAAGACCCTGTTGCTTGTCACAATTGGCCTTGGACTTTACTGGGCTGGACTGGACCTGCTTGAAAGATGCGTTTTCCTTTCAGCTTTTGGTGTACTAGAAATGTTGTATGGTAAATAAGCATACACGTGGTATTCTCACAAGATTAGTTTAAATGTAAGATATGAAAAATATAATGAGTTTAGTGTATGTTAAGACAATCCATTTCAACTGCTTAATGTCATTCTGTGGCAACAAATGATGATGATTTTACTATTGGGATACTGTGCTACAGACGCTCAGCTCTACAGGCATCTGTCGCACATACGAGAAAGGTGATATTCTGTAGTCATTTCCTGTAAGTCGTTCATTTCAATTCCTGACCCTCCCTTATGAGGATTGTAGCTGGAGGCTCTGAGTTCCTGCAGATTGTTAGATAGCAACATCTGGGATACAACTATTATTGTTTTGTGTATTGCTTTCATTTTGATCCTCTTAATACCACATCACATTTTATTGAACTTGATGTTTTTGTTGTTTTCTTACCATCCCACACTGGCCCTAAAATGTTTGGGTTTGCACAGAGCAGCCACCGTTGGAATGAGTGTGGTTGAGCAATAATGGCCTACCCTGTATACGAGCAATTTGATCCTGTGTTTATACGTGCTCTCAATAGAGCAATATAAGCTGGTAAAGCCCCAACTTTATGAACTATTGCAATCTATTGTCCTGCTGGGAGTCTTTTTTTTTGGGGGGGAGGACATCAGCGAGGTCGGGCTTTGGTTGTTGTCCAAAGCGCACACAGTTGTAGGTGTGTTGGACAGTCTGATCTGCTGAAGAAAATGGCTGATTACTTTTCCCTCTAAGAACCCTGTTTCTTGTCCCCCTGGAGCCTCCTTGTCTCCAACACGATAGCTCCCACGATTGATAAATATCGAGTCTACATTGACTCGATATTTTTCTTGTGGAGTCTACATTGTTTTTTATGTTGTTTCACTATGACCTATGGATGGGTTCCCTCTGCTTTTATTACTTTTTCAATCCTTATTTTTTCAACTTGAGGAAAAGCACAAGCAGTGACCTTAGTTTAACCTCATTTTCCTGTTTTCTATATCATGACGCTATTTTCTACTAATTGACTACTAATAATGAGAGAGTGAATGGATGGTGTTGGTTGGGGGCTTTGATGCGCCAGTGTGTGCGGGGTCTCGCTCCCGTCCTCACCGTGTGTGGAAGGATTGGAACAATATCTGAACTGTGAACTTTGTAAAGCGCTTTGGGTGACCTTGGTTTATAAAATGCGCTGTATAAATAAATATTGCTTACTTATTTACTAATTATGGTCTAATAAAACTACCTTAATACAATTACATTATACTAGTCTCAATAACAACATTTTGCAAACAACTTTTTTAATTTACTATTGTGAAATTGTGTTCATTTTAAAATGAATGCAATTTCCATGTTTTCTGTGTCAATTCAGAAAACATGGAATCAGAACGGATTTGGATAATTGGTGAAAATCGTTCATCCCAGCTGGTTACAGTGCTCAAAGGGCATTCTGATCAAAGAGATGTTTCATACTTTTGAGACGTGTTTTCTTTGAGACGGCTCACTGATGCACAAAGCATGTTCTTAGTCCACCAAGAATGTCTTCCCTACAAACTTACAAGATGTTGAGTCGGGCTCATTTGCTCTATATTTAGCACAGGCTTACAAATCTCTCAACTTTCACGTAAGAATGTTAGCATTTGCGAATCACTTTTGTGGTCTTTAGTTTGGCTTTCACACTAACAATGGAAAGGCCCCTGCCTCGGCTGAAGAGGCTGTAAGAGAAGACCTAATGTTGTTGTGTTTTTCAATGGGAGCTTTAGGTCATGTAAAAGCCTGTTTTGGACTTGGTTCCATGTGGATGTTGCGGATACATTCCTGAATCTTCAGGTCGCTTGTTATACAGGGCTACAGCAGAGTGCATTGTGTCTGGGGGGCCAAGAGGGATGTTGAGGACGCTTCAGTGAGTGTGTGCTGCCAACATGTTATGTAAATCACACAAGGCTTTTGGGACTTTTGCTACATATCTATGGAGATTTTTGTGATAAACTTTGTGAATGGGCTCAGATTTTAGTTATGTGTTTTAACGTCAGAATCTGCGATATTCCTTTCCTTTTTGATTAGAGTGTGTTTTGGTGTCTGTACCACATGGCTCCACTTTTTTTTTTTTTTGCAGCTGAGTTTTAAATTGTTTCAATCCAGGCCTAAAGCTGTATTGTGATAAATTATGATAAAAGCAGAAGCCATTAACTGGTGAGCTGATGTTGAGAAGTAGACCTGGCTCATAATAATAATTTATATAAATATTATATATTTATTTATTTTTTCTGGGCACTCAAGGTTGCCTTACAAAAGGTACACAGTTAAAAGCAAACTATTAAAAAGGCTAAGACCTGTAGTGTGTAAACTATTCAATCCTGAATTGATCTAAATTTGACAGATACGTCACATTTCAAAGCACGTACATCTGTTGGAAACTGCTCTATTCAAAGACAACCAATGATTGATGCATTAAATGTTCTCATGATGAAACATTTTATTCCTATCAAATAAACCATTACTAAAGCAAAATTATACAGAATGTGTCAGGGGTTTCAAATGTCTCTTTAACTAGTGTAACATAGAGTTTAATGGAATATTGAGGGGAAATTCCAGCCCAACAGTGATGCCGTATCGATCAGGTCAGGCTTGAGACAATAGAAAACACTGGGTGGAGGAGTGAAGTCATTTTCCTTTCAGCTCTGTAATGTCTCGAGAGGGTGCACGAGATGAACATTTGGAAGAGCAGCTCAAAAGCATGACACACTGTGCCTGTTACTCTGAGTATGTCCAATGCAATGTGGGCGTGGATGTACTTCAGGGACAGATGCTTGGACAATGCTTCCCTCTATTTCCCTTTAACGTAAATTTTTTTCCCCAAGGAAATGTTGGAATATTACTCTCAACATACATTTGCATGTACGTGTGCATGTGGGCTAGCAGGGTCCCACATCTGGTCATGCAGTGGGGCATTGGGTCGGCTCTGGTGGGAGGGCCCGTGTTAGTCTCTTTACTGACAACTCACAGCCTTATCTCAGTGTGAGTGGAGGAGCCTTTTCCTGTTTTCTTTTGCAGATAGTGTCCATTCTTAGAAATACAGAGCATACTGAAGCTGAGCATTGTTAGGCCTTTTGACAGACATTTCTGACACATGTTATTTCAATTTAGTCTAAATGGAAAAGTAGTTGTGACTGATGAAAGGATTCAGGAACATCTCTTTGAACATTAATTTTATTAACGCGTTGAAATGGGTAGTAGTCCAGCTTTAACTAGGCTAATTTATTTTGTTTTATAAATGCATTCCGTGTCCCAACATAAAAGGTCTTTTTTGTGAAAAAATCAGACAGCGTACTGCATAAAATGTGTTATATTTTATTGACTGAGAGTTGATTGGCTAAGTAATGGCTGGAGTAGAACTGTATTTCTTTGAATTGAAACAGCTGATCTAAATCTACAGTTTTGAGAGCAAGGAACTATATGGATTTTGACATTCTAACTTCAACAGTTTAAAGTTGTTGAGTTGCCCTGTCCAAAAGAACGTTTTACATACAAGTCTCGTTTTACTTTCTTCCACATGGGGTTTTAGTACAGCTCCTGCGTTCCTATATATATGACAAATGTGCCAACAAATGCCCTCAGACAGTGGGACTTAACAATGCGGTACAAGAATATGCAGAAGAAAGGGGAACTCGATCTCAGCGCCTGTATGTGTATGCGCACTATAATTGAGTCCAGCTGTACTCTTAAGTCACTGCTGGTCAGATGAGGGAGCGTCTTGGCTCAGATCTCATTACCTCCTCCACGTCCCATAGCGATTCTTCATCTAATTACAATTCAGCACTTCTCCACACTTTGAGCTCTCATATCTGCATGCTTTTTTGTGCAGGCACTTTTTCTCTTCTATATCAGTCTTATAATAAAACTTAGCTTTGATGTTTTCTCATTTCCAAGATTTTTTTTCTTTTTTTTATTCTGTCAAAATCCACAATGTAGTGTTTGGACATGTTGGCCTTGGAAGTTAAACAATGGAGAAAAGAACAAGGGAAACGGTTATTATGATGTTGCCAAAACAAAGTGAGACTCATTTGTCTTGTTTTCTAGCACATCGCATACTTAGTTTCTGGCTGTTTTACGTCCGCTCAAAAGAATAACTTCAAAACTCCACTTAAAAAATGTATACCTTCATTCAATGTTCATTAAAAGATAATCTTCATACTTTGATTGCTTGGATGAACTGTTCTATCAGTGTTGTGAACAGAGATTTGTTCATGTCTATGTCCAGACTGAGCGTGGCGAGTGGCTGCAGTTCCAGGCTGACCTACAGGTGGCGGTATCAGTGGCGGATCGGTTGCGTGCTGAAGCAGAGGAGGAGTTGGTGGCTCTCCGTGCGGCCCACAAGGACATGGAGCGGGAACTTGCTGCAGCTCAGCAGCGGGAGAAGGATGCTGACCTCCAGCTGCTGACTCTGAGAGGAGAGCTGCAGGAGAGCAGACAGAGACAAGCAGGAACATCGGTTACACCGGACACACAAGAGACCAATGATAAAAGCAGCACAAAAAAGTACGATAATAAAGATGAGACACTGCGAGGCAGGGACAGGGTTTTACACAGACTGGGAGGTGAACGCAGAGACTCCGGAAATGTCAATGAAAACTTAAAACACCAGGAAAGCCATCGGACAGATGTGACCAAGAGGTACCTGAAAAATGTGACCAATGAGGAGCAAAGTGGAGAGGAGGTCCGGCCCCTAGAGACACGGAGGTCCTTAACCACAGAGAGATCAAGGTTTGTAGCAACACACTTAGTTGTCACAGTTTTACAAAACTATCATTGTATTGCACAATGCAACACCATGATTTAGAGTTGGAATATAAATGCAACGTTAATTAGTTACATTTTTACCTGCATTTTGTGTTAAAATTTCTCATGATGCTGCTGTGAAAGTTTTATAAAACAAAATGAAACAATGTAAAGATAACAGGACAAAATAGTAGTATTTGTCTTTACTGCATTATCATTGAACTATTGTGTAGATATGAGGTCCTGTCAGGTGCTTTTTTATAATGTAAAAAAATGAACCAAGACTGTATTTAGTAATAAAGACGAGCCCAGATAATTCGTATAGCGCAGTGCATACACAAGGCTTGTTGGCCATTGTGTAGTCTGAAAACACGGCCGGCAGCCAAAGTGGGTGTTCATTTGAATAGAGTGGGTGGAGCTTCAGAAGTAGTACAAAAGATTTGTTTGTTTGGCATTAGCTCAAATATCCCTGTCAAGAACCATATTTCAATCTCTTGATTTTCTAGTCTAGATAATTACTCTATGATGATTATTACCATCTTGCTATTTGGCTGTGCATAATCCTTTCACTTTTTCCATTTTTTAGGAGCCTGTCCAGATTACCAGCGTCAGGAGAGTTCTCTATTACTCAGAATAGAAATTCCCAATCCAATACAATCTCAACTTCAGGGCCAACAAACAAGGTAACTGTTGTGCCCATAAACTAGTGTTTTTAATGATTGTGGATGGACAGCACAAGGTTTCCATTGTGGGAATTCTCTCTTCATCGGCCTTTCACAATGTTTGGCTTAAATATTCATAATCGGATGAGTGTGTCTTGTGCAGATTTCGGTAAGAAAAAAAAATCAACCATTTTCGACCTACTGTGTGTACCAAAAACACATAGGAGGTGACGGATGATGCTGGGATCCAAATACAATCTGTTTTGTGTAGCTGAAGGAAGTTGTTTTGCATCCACTCACTGATCTTTTGGATGCAGTGGAAGAGCGAGTCCACTGGCCCGTGTTCTCCTGCAGACAGTGAGACATAGATCTTATTGTTGTCTGCGTAGTTGTGATGTGTATTATCTGACCTAAAGGCAGCATGTCAACATTGAACAGAAGAGAACTTTTCATGAACATTAATCCTATTATGCAACTTTGACTCTTGCAACTAATTTCAAAGTGACCTCATAAGCTTCACTTTGTTTGCTGTATGTGTAAATCGGGGATTATTTCCCTGCACTGTGCAGACATTCGATTTTGTTCAACGTGATCTGCGGTCTGAGCAGAGCCTGTGAGGCCATTGATGTGACCATATAACATGCCAAAGGGACGGGCATAGTTCAATAACGTACAGCTTGGATGTGGAAGTGTCCCATCTAACTTCTTTTATACATATGTTTTTAAGATCAATCTTAAAATGTTAATTTATTTGCAGTATTATAACAAACTCTGGGGGTTACAGATGTCCATTGTGACTGACACAGGTCTTCTCTTGACACACTCACTCTGCTCATATTCACGTTTTTATCATTAGAACCTGGTGCAAGAGGTGCTACGAGTTAGAAGAAGCTTGGACTGGCAAGACAACAAAAGTTCAGATAAAGGTGAGGACTTGTCTTACTGGTCATGAAAATAAGATAAGATAAGATAAGATTGCTTTATTTATCTCACAGAGGAGAAATTTACATGTCACATTTGGCATGGATAGAGACACTCCGATTGTGCAAAGGGAGACAAATAGACAAAATATGCTTAATTCTTTATGATCTGTAATTTCCTTGTGGCTAATGGGAATATGTATTTTCAGCAAAACGTGAGGAGTCTTTAAATAAGTACAACTCTGCCCTTGCCGATCTGCCTCCCAAGTGAGTATCCTGATATAAAGATAATGTACAATGAAATAAATATATTTTATTCTTCAGAGGAGGCATGTGATTCCTTTGTACCAATTTACAGCTCAGATATCTTGCCTGATGTATTGGTAAATCCCACAGTAACGTATTTATAGTGCTTTTATAGTGTTTTCTTCATGGAGCTGAGCAGGTCTTTGCTGTTTCTGTTTGAAGGGCGTTGAAAAGGCACCCATTAATTGATGACTAAGCTTGGTACAGAAGAATACCCAACATAAATGACTCTGCCATGTTGCGTATCTTGTTTCTAACAAAGCTATAACTCACAGTATGTTTCTTTTGTTCTTGTGTGGACAGGTCTCAGGATGAGTTCAATCTGCTGCTCCGTCGCCATGGAGGCTCCAAAAGGAACTCGCTGCTGCGCTGGTGCCAGAATCTAACTCAAGGCTACAAGGTCCAACATACACACCACATATGATTTATACAGGCCTCACAATCTAAAGGCCACATGCCGCTAATTCACAAGAGAGGCACTTCAAGATTTATTTTGTTCTCTAACGTGATTGAATAAAAAACTCATTCATTCTATTGTATTTAACCTTTTCTAGCATTATGTAGCTTGTCTTAATTTAAGTATGGTAATGTCCGAGCCACACTGCACAGCCCCTAGTGTTCAGACTCCTTCATATTCACAAAAGTATTCACTCTGTTCTTCTTTTAATCAGGATATCAGCATTACCAACTTCAGCACCAGCTGGGCTGACGGTCTGGCCTTCTGTGCAATCTACCACAAATACCTCCCCTCGCACATCCCCTACACCAGCCTCAGTCCAGAGAACAAGGTATGCACTGCTGCACAATGATTTATTGTGTTCAACTATTAAGTGTACGCCTGTTTTCCCAGAGAGAAAACCTCAGCCTGGCATTCAAAACAGGAGAGAGCGTGGGGATAGAGCCCACGTTGGTAAGTCCTTGAACCCTTTAATATTTGACTTGCTCCACGTAGATTCAACAGCACTAATGTACGTTTGTATCTGCTGCAGACTTTGGAGGAAATGTTGAAATTAGGTGGTCCGGATTGGCAGCGGGTCCTGAGCTACGTGGAGAGTGTGTACAGACACTTTGAGATGTAACTCTTTGAGAGGTACTCTTCTAATGGCGTCATGGGAAGGAAGCAGAACTATCACCAGGGCATTTGTAGGACTACTTTTGTCCTCCCGAGACGGAACATTACACCCCTCTTTTGCATACACATTGAAAATTGCATTGATTTTGTTTCTTTTGCTGAAAAACCAAATGGCATTGCATTTTCTAAAACACCATATTCTCATAAAAAGACCTTTTGCATTTGCTGCAAAACAATACATTTAGCTTTCATAAAGTTTTCAAAAAATAATTGATTAATAAATAATGTAAGTGCCTTCAACTGCAGCCATTTTTAATAAAAAGTTTCTGTAATTGTCTTCACACTGATGCCTCACTGGCAAAAAAGTACTGTACCCAGCATGCCTTTTTGTCAAATATTTTCTATAAAAGTGTAAGATCTTTTTTTAGCCTGATTGTATGGTTTATATTTCCCACCTTGTAAAAATGCACTCACACATGCACTTTGTTCTAATAATATGAAAATGTTACAATCTGCTCTTGGCCTCTGTGGGTTTCAGAAGCAGTGCAACAGTGTTGAATTACAGAAAGTGAATTTACTTTTAGTGACGCTAGTAGTTTGTCATGACATGTTGGTCACCTAAAAAGTCTAAAAGTGTTTGTCCTGTTTCACAAACATCAGATGCAAAACTAGAACTAACACTTGCTAAAATATGTATGGATTTAATATTGTTTATTCTGTTTTGTAAGTAGTGTAAAATGCCAAACTAATAAAAGTATAAATATGTAGCCACTGTGTGATGCGTTTATTTTTTTATTTTTTTTCATGCACATAATTGCTTGAGCTATGCTGCCCCCTGCAGGCCAACGGGAGGTAATGCAAAGGGTGAATGTAAGGAAACGCCTGAAAGTCACTTTCACATGTTTGTTACTGAAATAAATGTAGGAAATGGGGAAGATTTTAGTTTGTTGTTTAGCAGTTTTTGTAAGTGCACTATTGTTCTGATTGTGTTATCTTGACTTTGGAAGTGTTCATGTAAGAGATCAGGGTGGACTATTTCTATTGTGAACTTCAGATAAATCTTTTAGTATAGCCTTAAATCACAACAGTACTGTAGTTATCTTGGACTTTACAAAGTTGCCAATCTGCCAACACAGATCAGAGATTCAAACAGTTCAAAAACGGAAACAATTTAAAAAAGAAAGTCCATAAATATTCCTAAATGTCCATTTTTGAAGATGTGACTATATGCAAAGTCGAAACAGCAAATTGACATTGTGTCTACTTCAATACAATCTAACAGAGCTGTCAAAAATCAGCAAAATGGAAAACCACTCTCAAATGTAAACAGGGCATTTCATTTAAAAACAAAATAACAGTAAAAAAATTTTTTGACACAAGCACAGCTGATATGTTTTTTTATTTACTTAATGTTATACATTCTTTGTGGATTTAAAGTTATGTTAAATGACCTAACCATAATCTAATATTTTCTGTCATAGCAGTTTACGGCCTCATGATATCGGTGATGTGAAAAGACAGATGAGCCTGGACCCCCCTGGGCCAAGGCGTTGTTATGTGTCGTCTCTCTAGCCCCTCCAGACCACAGCTTTTGTTCTGGGCCCAGGACATATGTGATACTCTTGAGTATTTGGTCATGTGATCAGGGCTTTCTGGGCCGAGGTGGGCGGGCTCTTATCCCAGGTATAGTACAGGTACACATTGGAGAGGAGCGGACACCAAAGTGCAAGTTCAACAGTCAACATGGCGTGGCTTTATAGACTAGGACTGTGTTTGGGAATAATTATGGTAAACTTAGCTGGATCGCATCAACAATCACCCAGGTAGGAATACAGTCCAAACCAAATACTAAGTTATTTTCCACGACAATTCTAAAGTTTTGTTTTGTATTTAGTTCTCTCTTCTTGGTCTCGGTACCAGAGCAGATTCATGCTGGGATGCCCACTTCGTTAGCAGTGACCATCCTGGGAGACTCCAGTGTCCGAGTTACAGCTGAGATTGTGCAGGGCAATATCAACATAGAAAAGTCTGAAGATTTTACAAAAGGTGATTTATTTATTTATTTTTTGGTTGGTTGGTTGATCTAATGTATTTTAGGAAATCTTCTTGTGTACATTGGGGACTTTGGCAAATGTATTCCAATGTGATTTTAGTGCAAATGGCAAATTATCTAATCCGATCTAGTCTAAAGTATCCTTCTAGCAAGAATCTACCTGTATTCCAAACGGCTAATTATAATCAATTTGACAGCTCAGTAACATTACTTAAATGGCATCATGGTTGAAGTAGTAAAAATCTGTCGTGTTGATGTTTGACATGATGAAGACTAGTATAAACTCCAGTTGATGATGAAGTTATGTAAGAGTTTATGATTGAAGAGAAACAACTTTTGTATTATCATGATAAAAGTGTGCAGGTTGGCTTTGTATTTAGTGGTTGTATATTGGGGGACGAGAGATTTACTACTTCTCCCTCCTTTTTGAGCAAAAAGCCTTAGTTTGTTGTAACCAATTACAGTATGTAACACACTTTGAATGTTTTCCAAAAATGAATGTTTTTCTCTACTTCAACTCATCTGGTTTACAATTCATGCTAAAAAATGGTTTTATTAATTTGTATATCTCATGACAATTGAGTATATGTTTTATAATAGTTTCACATTGTAAATTGAATAAACAAAGTAAATGGACTTTAGAAAGATGTTTTAGTTTCTCACCTGTGTATTACATATGATTGTCCCAAACATAGACTGTAAATAAGTCACAATGGAGATCGTGATGGAAACTATCTACCACTGCTCTGCACAAAATGAATAGATCAATTTTTGACAATTTCAGGACAAACATATCATCAGATTATAGTTTTGAGCTGAATCCTTTTTGTTTTCCCAGATGTGACAGGACTTCTCACACTTCCCCCTGTGAGTAATGCTTTATTACATGCTCCTGGCCTTTTCATATACTAAATCAAATCTTTTACAGATATATGACTCAAATCTATGGGGTTCACTCCTCAGCCTGACTGTGAGAGGCAAGAAAGGCACTGAAGTTGTTTTTACGAACACCACTTCCATAATGTTCAGTTCCAGAAATGTCACAACATTCATTCAGACAGACCGAACGCACTACCAGCCCGGGGAGCGTGTCAGGATACGGGTGGTTTCGGTCTACAAGGATAATCTACCCTACCAGGGCAAAGTGGAGCTCTCAGTGAACGTGTGTGCATGCTACGTCTCATTTTAAACAGTTATATTTACATTTTTATGACATTTTTTTATGTCAATGTGATGATTTTGTCTTCACACAGAATCCCTCTGAAGAGACCGTGCACAGGTCTGAGTCCAGTGGGAATAATGGGATTATGTTGGGAGATTTCACTTTACCACAGGCTGCGCCGTCAGGACTGTGGGTTGTGTTGACAAAAATCAATGTAGGTTTTCAATGGCAGTTTTTCTTTATTACTTTCTTGAACCGTTTTTTGAAATTGTGTATTTTTGCCCGCAGGGGGTAACAGATCACACTATGTTTACTGTGGAGAATTCTGGTAAGATTGACACACTTTGTTGAAGGGGCCTTATGTATTCGTAAACCATACTATCATATATTTTTATCACATACCCTAGAGACTGTAGAAATCATTTAACCTTCATCCTTTACTTGCTTATATGCTTATATACAATTTTCAAGCAGAAAATTGGAAAATGGGTTGCCAGTTTGAAGGTGAAAATTAGCTGCTTTTTGTGGTTTTTGATTGCAAACAAAAATTTGTTTAAATAAAGGCAGATGCAAGAATAATAATACATAATACAGAGTTTTATTATAACTCCAGTGGTGGATTGCATCAGTAATCAGTGCTTAGGAGCTATGTGTCACAGGCAGGAACATTCTGACTTTAATGAGTTGAGATTTCAAATGTCTATATTTTTATATGTTTGTCCCCACAGAAAGAGAAATATGTTGTGATTAAATCTGACCACAAGATACTGTTTTTATGCTATTAGAAAACCTGTTATCTAAGACACAGTTTGACACTTTGGGTTTAGAGCTGATTAGTTCCTTTATTTTTCCCTCTTTGAAAACAGTCCAAACTGTCATAGAGCCAGGAACTATCCCAACTTTAACTGTCACATGTTGATTTGTATGGTTTTAAATAGATGGTAAAAGTTGTATCGATTTCATCATTGAGTGTCTTTTAAAACAGAGAATCCAGTCTTTGATGTTATGGTCAACACCCCCTCTCATGTTCTGAGTAGTGAGGACATCTCCGGATCCGTGCGGGCTCTGTAAGTACCAGAAGTATCGACATCAATTTTTACTTAAACATGTTTTTTTCATATTTGTTCTCTGATAGTTATTCTAGTGGACAGCCTGTGCATGGGACAGCGAAGGTGACGCTGACTCTGGAACCCACAGCGGAGGGCGACTCTACCTTCACTTTGACTCACATCAAAGAGGTACATGGATTTAAAGTTGGGGAATCTAGCTTTGATTTTCATAGATATTACGGGGAAAAAAGAATGTTTCGGTCTGTGGTGGTTCAGTGGTTAGCGCTTATGCCTCACAGCAAGAAGGTCCTGGTTTCGATTCCACCTCCAGACCTTTCTGTGCAGAGTTTACATGTTCTCCCTGTGTCTGTGTAGGTTTCCTCTGGGTACAATAGGTCTGGCATTTGCCTCCTGTATTGGCGACCCCTCTCCCATCTCTGAGTGAGATAACAATCATTAAAAACAGCCACTATTTGACGCTATGGGCTGAGAGCGGATTGGCTGAGTGAGGGTGGTCCTCTCTTTTCTCACTTTTCTTTCTGAGCTAGCTGATCTAAAGATGTACACAGAGGCTAAAAAGGAACAAGTTAGAGGAATTTAATTAAGATAAGACAAACTTTATTGATCCCACGATTGAAATGTTTGTATACCAAAGCTTGAAGAGCCTTTTATCAGAGAAACTATAAATCTTTAGTAAATCTTTTGTTTTTAGATCTATGGTTCAACACAATTTCACTTCAGTAAGGAGGATCTCCGCCCAATAAGTGCCAAAGTGCAAAGTGGAAAAGACCTGATAGTTCAAATACATGCTGCAGTGACCGGCAACTCCTCAGGTGAGATACTTAAGTTACTTCTGTTTTAAATTTGAGTTACTGTTACTGTTTTATTTTCATGTATTTTTCCTAAAGTCAACAGGGGAATTGAAGAAACAAAAGAAGTGAACGTTCACATTTCCAAGGAGGAATATCACCTTACTCTGCATGACTGCCCTGAAGCACTGAAGCCAGGAATGGAGCTCTTTGCAAAGGTTGTGACTTCATGACTTACACTGCAAAAAGATGAAAAATAAGATTGAACATTGCTCAAATTTGGCAAAATATATCTTAATTTGATTTGCCAATGGGACCAGCAAAATAATCCTGTTTTTAGAAAAATAGAAGCAATAATTTCCATAAAATGAGAAAAAAGCAACGGTTCTTGAAATTAGACTAAATGGCGTGTCCTATTGGCAGGTCCTGTTTTAAGACCGTTAGAATGTACTAAAATTAAGATGAAAACGGCTCGATTCAAGCAACACATTGGATTGTCAAAAGTGTACTGCCAAAAGTGAAATATACTTGTTAACTGTCCCAACTTGAGCAATGTCTTGTTTCAAGTCTAGTTGCAATTTATTTCACATTGTAAGGGAGATTTTGAGTAAAAGATATTTTTTTATCTTGAAACTTGTAAATGACGATGGATTTGGCCTTTAAAAAATAGCATTAATAATACAAATATGTGTATACAGAATCTGACATCAATCAATACTCAAGTTATAATTAGAAGTTCCGAGATGTAAAGTTATAACAATGTGAACTAAATACAAATACTAAAATTATTGTGGGAAGTGGATAGTCAGATTTTAGTACTAACCCTAACCACACTTTTATCTAAGTAAGTAAGTAAAGTTTATTTGTATAGCGCCTTTCACAGACCAGGATCACAAAGCGCTATATTAAAACTGCCATCAACCCTTGAGGTAACATAAGTTTATTATTTTTGCAAAACATTACAGTCTAAAAGGCGTAGCCCAGGATTAAATCCCGTCATAAGCAGTGTTCATCGTAGACACATAAAAGAAGAATTGTAGCTTTTGCTTCTAGCCTGTATTTGTTAGAATGTATAAAGCTGTAGGTGGTTTGGCATGTGACACTTTCTGTATCGTGAGACTGCAAAATATATATTGGTTTCACATTTTAAGTTCTGTATGTGAAATGCTCATTGACTGGGAGTTAAATATGAATGGGTCGGAATTTCTTTCCATTTCTTTTATCTATTTTTAATTTCAATCCTGTGTTATTCCTCCCCTCTGTGATCATTGATAAGGATTGTGTTCATATTTCTGCAGCTCCAGATAACTCGCTTTGACCAGCAGCCCTTGAGCTCCGAGGATAAGCTGGAGTCTGCATCGATTGAGATAACACAGAGAACCTCCACAGACCCCGGCGAGCCCACATCTCTCACACATCCGGTGCCTGAAGACGGGATTGTCCACCTGAGCTTCAGATTACAGGCTGAAGTAGAGGAGGTTTTTATTCAGGTGAGAATTTAGATTTAACACGGCATGCAGATCCTCAGGGGGAGGCCAGTGTTCGGCGGTTTCACACTGTAAGATGAGTAGTTTCAGCATGGAGCGACATAGTACACTCTTAAACACGGTTGAACAAGTTGATATTCTATGTTTGTTATCTTTGCAAACAGGCCAGGTTCCGGTCCGGTGTTACTGCTGTGAAAATATCCAAAACTCACCCGTCTCCAAGTGGTTCTTACATCCAAATCTCTCCAACAAATTCCACACAGGTAGCTTCAAAATACACGTTTTTGTCCCAGACCTGCATTTTTTTCATACATTTATATTTCTCGTTTCAGATCGGATCATCTGTTGAGGTAGTGGTGAAGAGCTCAGTCCAACCCAAACTCCTTCACTATGTGGTGCGTCCTTTATCTATTTATTAACTTTGTGGATCACAAATGGGGCCCCCGATTTTCAAATAACAAAATCTGCAACTATTGTATGTATGGGTGGTGCGGTGGCTGAGTGGATAGCATTCTCACTTCTCTGCAAGGAGGTCCTGGGTACGAATCTCGGTCAGAACAGGACGTTTCTTAGCAGAGTTTGCTCATTTTTGGTTTTGCTAATAGGTGTTACCTACCACTAAAACCTTGTACAATAGGTCTAGCATACGCCTCCTGTACTGGCGACCTTGCTCCCATTTCTAGGAGGACTTTGTGACTCTGGTCTGTGAAAGGCGCTATATAAATAAAGATTAATGTTTACCCTCTGTCATATCTTCGGATCAGCTTTTTCAGACAGAAAAGTGAAAAAGTGGGGACGACCCTCAATCAGCCAATCGACACTGAACCCATAGCAGTGTATAGAGAGATAAAATAGATGAAGACAGATGTTATGATTTTATTAGCAGCATGTGACTTTTACAATATTTTTTTGGTTGGGACAAATGGGACAAGTATAAAATATGAGAAAATACCGTTCAATACCTCAGCTCTAACAATGATAATTTAATACAACTCCGGTCCCATTGTGTCTGTTCTGTTCTGTGCTTTTCCAGGTACGGTCCAGGGGCCGGATAGTGGCTGCTGGGACAAAGGAGTTTGGTTCTTTCTCTCTGACTCCCACAGCCGCCTGGGTCCCTCAGGCCTGTGTGACCGTGTACTGTGTCCTCAGTGACGGGGAGATCCAGAGCGACACCACAGACATTCTGGTCGAACAACAACCGGTATGAGAAGTATTGTAATGTCTTCTGCTGTCTTTTAACATCTTCTTTGCCCATACTTTGAAGTGGATTTTGATTATTCTGCATAATACTTACTGTATATAGTGCTTTTCCCAGACACACAAAGACACTTCACAGGCATTATTCAAGCTGAATACATAGTCACTCCCAAACTAATGAGGACAATTATACATCATTTGTGGAGATGTGAAACCACCAAAAATGACTCAAATGACTTCTGGAAAAGTGTACACTTGTTTGGTGGTTACACATTTTCACAGCTGAAGCATATTTGCACTAATTGGTTGGTGGTAATGTGACCTCTAGTTGGGACTCAAAGGAGAGCACGCCCTGATTCTCTCTGTACACAGTGGTGGTAAACTATTATTGTAGTCACAGCTGCCCTGAGGCACACTAGGAAACTAGGAAAGCAGTATGTGCCATTGGCCCCTCAGAGCCCAACAAAACATTTCTACACACACACACATACGCACACACACGCACACGCACACACTATATGTGGATGAAGTGTATTGCCCAAGGGCTCAACAGTTGAGGTTCCCAGAGATATAACAAAATAATAACCAGGCCCTGCTCTGACAGGATCAGACTTTCACATGCTGGTGGCAGGTATTTTATGTTTCTAATAATAAGAGCAATAATGCATCAGTTTTATATAGCGCTTTTTTGGACACTCAAAGACGCTTCACATGTCATTATTCTTTCACTCCATACATGTTGGTAATAAACTACTACTGTAGCCACAGCTGCCTTGGGGCACACGGACAGAAGCGAGGCAACCAGTATGCGCCATCGGCCCCTCTGACCACCACCAACCATTCACACACACACCAGACTCATTCTAGAGTCGTTTTAGTGTAGTTATTATAACTAGATACATTGGCTTCTTTTGAAATAAACGCCATAAATGATATCTAAAAGGTGACTGACAACCATCTAGTCTGTTTAAACTTCTGCTTTGCGGAGGAAAAGTTATACTGAATTGTGACAAACCTTACTGTCCAATACGTTTTGATAAGTACGTCACAGTATGAGTTCAATATATTTCCTGTGTGTGACGTGTTTCAGGTGTCGCTGATGTGGAGCAGTGGGAAGGCCCAGCCCGGGGAGCAAGTGACCCTCAGTGTGACGGGGCCTGACAGTGGCTCTAAGGTGGGCATCGTCGTCATGGGGGCACACCACTCCGCTCCAGATGTTTCCACCCAGTTTGACATGGATCAGGTAAACTTAAACTTTTCTTGTGTATGAAAGTTATGTTGCAGGGTTGTAGTAAATAAATAAACAAAGTTTTCATTAATTGCAGCTGATATTTCTAGTATAGTTCCAGACTGCAACGTATCTGCGTCTTTTGTCTGAAGGACACTTCAGTTTACTGTAAAATGGTTATTTTAGCGGTCCAGCGGTCCAGGGTTAAGTCCAGGGGCAATGATCTTTTAGCAGAGACTTGACACAGAATACTTGACCCAAAATGTCATCCAAATCATCTGCAGGATTGTATTGAAATTGATCAAGAGACATAGATGTTATGACATACTGTGAAGAATAGCTAATGATGTTTTAAAATGTCAAAACGGCTATCGTAAATGTAATGAAAGATTTTTTTCTAATTCTTTTTAAAGGAATGTTATGTTCGGATGATGACAAATGGTAAATTAGACAAAACGCAGCTATCTGATGGATCCACTCAGGGTAGGCAAACAGTCTAATCTAACCAGCCATAAATGACACACATAATGTAGTTATTCTAATCAAATGTGTTTTCTTCTGGATGCAGATATTATGGAGACGTATTGGTTCCACTACATGAATGGAGACGAGCCTCTGCTGTGGTTGGATGCAACAATGAGGTATGAGTATTATCGCAAACCTTCAGTCAACTGTAAATATACAAACGTTGTTTTTTATCATTTAACATTTTTCAGTGATACCATATGGACGAGTGAGAAGATAACGGTACCAGACGGTGTGCACTCTCTCAGAGCGGTAGCCTTTGTGGTATCCCAACGCCATGGACTGAGCTTCACATCTCAGACAGTAAATATTCTAAAAACATGATTGGAAATAACGTTTATATTCACAAAGATATTCACATGTACTACAGCCAATAGCCCTATTCATGTTTTCAATATATGTACAATTAACAAAGCATTAAAGTTGCTATGTAGACAATTTTGGGAACTTCTTGGGTTTAGTCTCACTTTGCCAGCTTTTTGGATTCACAAACTTAAATGTATTTGTTCGTTTTACTTTTGCCACTAAATACGGGTCGCCTTAAGCTCTTTTTAATCCTTTTACAGCTGACCATTGTCAAAGACTTCTCTCTGTCTCTCAATGTACCTCCTTACCTCATCAGAGGAGAGGAGATAGTTCTGGAGGTCAACATCATCAACCATTTACACAGAGATCTTGATGTAAGTTTTTGCTAATGTTACTGTTACTTTTACTTCCCAAGCACTGAATATTTTGGATTTGCTTCGGGACGGACACAACGCATCACCCCTTTGAACATTAAACAACAAATAATTCTGTCGGCGGGCTTGTGTATTTTGTTTTGAGGTTGCCTGGTGGGTGGGATTTGTCATTGCGTTATGTTGTGTTGTGTGTCTTGTGTGTACATGTCTGGTGAGTGTCTGAAATAAAAAAGAAAGAAAAAAACAAAAACAAAAAAATAATTTTAATTCAATTGCAATTGAAATTATTGTGGGATAAAACAAACCAGTACATATAACCAGGTATAAACCAGGACTTAAATGACCCAATAGTAATAGTAATTAGTCATTTTATGAAGTCATTATAATTTCAATTTAACTTTTGATGCCAGAGTCTTACCGCCTGTCACGTGTTTGTGGTCAAATATAATTTCTAAATATTGGATAATCATTTGCCGACACATATAAAACATGTAGCTTTAATTGAAAATATTAGGTACTGCCCCTTTAAACTAGGAAATAAATACATTAATAAGTTGGTTATTATCTTGTTTTAAGACCAATGAAATTTTGGTCTTAATCTTAATTTGTCCCTTTTTAATTGAGGTAAATTTTCATTTGAAAGAGAGAGACAAAATTCTGTTCTTGAGAGAACATATATATTGATTTTCAGATTGACAAATCTTTCTGAATATTGGATCACTTTTTGCTCTGAAACTGGGCCGGTTTAGATTGCCTAGAGGGCCTGATTTGGTCCATGGGCCACAGGTTGTATAGACGTCTACATGATTGATTGCATTGTGGACGTTCAATACAATAATTATTTGTTTTTAGGTCATTTTACTGCTGGCGGAAAGCGATGCCTTTGAGTTTGTAATGGCACAGCGTGGGGACCTCTCTGTGGTGAATGCCCAGAAGCTGACTTTGGGAAGCCACGTCTCTGCTAAAGCCATGTTTCCAGTCCGAGCCACAACATTAGGGGACGTGGATATTACTGTGGATGCTGTTTCTGCCGATGCATCAGAGAGTCTGGTTTGGACTGTTTTTGTAAAGGTAAAGACATTGGAAAAACACAATATAACCTCAGGAGATGTTTCAGCTGTATTGTTGTAACTGCTTGATTGAATTACATTTGCCGTCTTTTGTGTCCTCAGCCTGAGGGAGTCGAGGAGTCTGTTTCGAAAAATCTTTTTTTGGAGCTGCCACCCACCGTTGACAACTTCTCTGTGTCCGCTGCGTTCTTTTTCCCAGATGGAGTGATCCCGGACACCCGCAGGGCACATGTGGCTATGGGCGGTGCGAACATTCTTTCTCATTCACGCACTCATACATAGACTTGTCGCCATGACAACTGATGACGGCCACAATGGGGTTCATTGTTTATCATCGGCACATTTTCTTTGCATTGATTGGAATTTTTGTGTAATTTTACTTTATAATACAATAGTTCAAAGCTGTACATGTGGGTGGTTGAAGTACAAGTAGGTACTTAAAGCTGGATTACTTTGTTCTTAAATAAATACTTCATGTACAATTTCTCTTAAACAAATGAGACCACAACATCTCTATACTTTTAGAACATGTTTTATATTTTACAAACTGAGAATTGATTGGCTGTTGAATACCCCAGCTTTAAGTAAGAGTATAGATACTAGTATAAAATAAAACACATAAGAAACATAAGAAACACTTTTATACTTGGGGACAAACCAGCTTTGGTTTGTCCCCAAGTATAAAAGAAGTAAAATGTTGTGTTGATAAATAGATGGATAATACATTTGCATGAGAAGAATTTGCTTTGAACAGCATAATGTAGAAATGTGTCATACTGAAACACATTATGACAACAAAACAAAACCATTCATTACTATTTTTATGTAATATGGCCATTGACAAAGTAACTTATATATGAAATTAAAAGTAAGGAGTAAAAGTAAAAAAAAAGTAAAGCACAGATACTAGGAACATATTTTAGTTAGTAATACAGTACTTGATTTGCCACCTCTGAATTAATCACTTGTATAGATAAATATTGACTAATTATTGGCTCACTCTGCTCTGAATGACGGTTCAAAAATGGTTTGGCTGAGTGTCAATATTTTGTTCATGGTGTCATACTGACAAATCTACTGGTATAATGATTGGAAGACAGAGAACATTTGTTTTGTATTTGCAGGTGACATACTGGCCTTGTCTCTGGATCAGCTACACGCCCTGGTGAACCTGCCTCTTGGTTGTGGAGAGCAGAACTTGGTCCACTTTGCCACAAGTGTATACGTTCTGCAATACTTACAAAGGTCTGGTCAGGATGACGCGGGCATCAGGGGAAAAGCGATGAAGCATTTAGTAGAAGGTAAGAAGCACTTTTTATCCATACTAAACAACTGTCTCTTTACCTATGAATATCTCTGAAACTAGGATACCAGCGGCAGTTGTCTTTCCAGCACAGTGATGGCTCATTTGGGGCTTTTGTACAAAATGACATTAAGGGTAGTATATGGTAAGAAACAAAGCTAATGAAATCAAATGTTCCTAAAAGGTGTTGGGTTTTTGTCAATAATAACTTTGTCATTATTGTTCGTGTGATTAGGCTGACAGCGTATGTACTGAAGTGCTTCCAAGGGGCCCAGTCCTACATCACAGTAGACCAGAGTGTCCTCACCAGGGCCTGGGACTGGCTGCTGACGCATCAGGGACCAGATGGGGACTTCATAGAGGTGGGGCACACCATGCACACAGAGATGCAGGCTGGTCCGGACAGTGATCATGTGGCTCTCACTGCGTACGTACTCATCACTCTACTGGAAGATCAGACCACTGTTGTGAGAAACCATCCTTTTGCTTTCCTTATGAACATGAAGTGACATAATGATGACACAAAGCTCTATGCAGGAAAGATATTCTGAACAAGTTAAACTGGCTCAAAAATACCTGGAGGACAAGGTCTCCACTGGGGTCGTCGGTAACTACAGTCTGTCTCTCAGTGCCTATGCCTTGTCCCTCGCCAACAGTCTCGTAGTGACCACAGTCTTGGCAGAGCTCAGTGAGAGGGCAGACTTTCAAGGTGCAGTATGTACTAGAATGAAAAAAAAAGAAACATATAACCTATATATGAAGCAGTATATTTTATTTTCAAGATGGAGCAATGACATGGATGTCCTCTGGTGGCGCCCAGTCACATGACCAGCCTAACGCTGTTCAGATAGAAATGTCTGCATATATTCTCTTGGCTTATTTCAATCGTGGACACATTTTGGAGGCTATTTCCCTCATGAAATGGCTGACCAACCAAAGGAACCATCTTGGAGGTTTTGCCAGCACACAAGTACAACTCTAGTTTTATCAAATTGATTCAAATTGTTTCCATGTTCAATGTATGTTGATATTGCTGTATGTAGGACACGGTCGTAGCTCTCCAGGCTTTGGCAGAATTTATTATTTTAAGTGGATCAATGTCCATAGACCTGATGTTAAAGGTCACAGAACCAAAAAGCATGTTTTCTTCAATGCATCATATCAACTCAACCAACTACCGAACGCACCAGACCCAAGAGGTAACGGCTTTGTTTTAATGTAATACAAACAGCAAACAAGTGTGGAACAAAGTTATTTTCAAATTGTTTTTTTTAGATTTCTGTTGACAATGACCTAGAACTGGATGTGCACATGGAAGGGAGGGGATATGCTACATTTCAGGTACAAGTCATGTAAATATGTTTATCTATGTAGAACTTTCCCAATGACAACTTTACACACAATTGTTGAATCTTTGTTTTAATGCAACACAATCCACTAAGCATCAGATTCAATACGCCAATCCACTCCAATCCAAATCTATCCACTCTTGTGTAGTGGAAAGAGCATTATAATAGAAATAAATACAGATCCAACCCCCATAAGTTGGCATCATTATCGATACTGATACACGCCGCAAATCTCAGGCCCCTAATCAAAGGATTGTTCCTTCTAGTCCTAATACAGAACACAGACCTTTTGCTGCTATAGACCGACAATGAAATACACATACCAGCACATTTTAAAAACATTTGAATGCACCTTTTCCTTGTTTTAATCCCCCCCTAGATCCAATCGATATGGTCAATACTAAATAACTTTTTGTTTTATTAGATGAATGTTTTCTACAACATGGACAGCAACATCTTTTCCAAAAACCTCCGGAGCATCATGAACGAGGAGGCCTACTCACTAGATGTGAAAGTTTCAAATCTAGGAGATGACCACAACCGATTGCAACTAATCATTTGTGTGGGGTAAGTATTCACAAATGATGGAATCCCTAAAAGTGAATAGAATGTAATACTTTTCTCATCTGTGTCTTTTTTCAGACTGAAGGACTCTGAGAGATTGTCCAGCACAGGGATGGCCATTGTGGATGTGGGCATGCTCAGTGGATTCACTATTTCCCTTGGAGCCTCTCGCCCGATGGAGCTGATCCCAAAAATGGAAACGTTATCTGATAAAGTCATCTTTTATTTTCACTCAGTAAGTATCGTGGGTTCAGTATTTTCACTCAGTAAGTATCGTGTGTTCAGTATTTTCACTCAGTAAGTATCGTGGGTTCAGTATTTTCACTCAGTAAGTATCGTGGGTTCAGTATTTTCACTCAGTAAGTATCGTGTGTTCAGTATTTTCACTCAGTAAGTATCGTGGGTTCAGTATTTTCACTCAGTAAGTATCGTGTTCAGTATTTTCACTCAGTAAGTATCGTGGGTTCAGTATTTTCACTCAGTAAGTATCGTGGGTTCAGTATTTTCACTCAGTAAGTATCGTGGGTTCAGTATTTTCACTCAGTAAGTATCGTGTGTTCAGTATTTTCACTCAGTAAGTATCGTGGGTTCAGTATTTTCACTCAGTAAGTATCGTGGGTTCAGTATTTTCACTCAGTAAGTATCGTGGGTTCAGTATTTTCACTCAGTAAGTATCGTGGGTTCAGTATTTTCACTCAGTAAGTATCGTGTTCAGTATTTTCACTCAGTAAGTATCGTGGGTTCAGTATTTTCACTCAGTAAGTATCGTGGGTTCAGTATTTTCACTCAGTAAGTATCGTGTGTTCAGTATTTTCACTCAGTAAGTATCGTGTGTTCAGCATTTTCACTCAGTAAGTATCGTGTGTTCAGTATTTTCACTCAGTAAGTATCGTGTTCAGTATTTTCACTCAGTAAGTATCGTGTTCAGTATTTTCACTCAGTAAGTACATCATCTTTTTGTTGTATTATACACAGTTGTGCTTGAAAGTTTACACACTTAGGCAGAAGTTCTTTTTTGTTAATATTTTGAGAAAACATACATTTTCTTTTTATTATTCTGAGTAAATATTTTGAGATTTCAAATGAACACAATTTTTTTCATTCATCGATAGCAGTTGTGTGAAACCATCTATTGTCATTTTATCTATTTTTGAGGTCATTTTCATTCATTTCGGTCAGCAATAAATAAATAAAAACATTAATTTCTCAGCAATTTTCAAAACACATGCCACTCTGGGAAGATCTCAAATGTGCAGTTCATGCAAGGCAGCCCAGGAATTTACACAAGACATCCTCATCCGCAACTATCACAAAAAGACTCCAAGCTGTCACAGATGTTAAAGGGAAAACATACTGTACGCTGTTGATAACTGAAGGGTGGAAAATGTCGGTTAATTTTGGTTGTCATTTACGTGATTTGATTCATAATATTTACACAAAATATGGGCAATTTTTATGTCTTTAAGTCTGTGTGAGTATGTAAACTTTCAAACACACCAGTATAACATCATGAAACACGTTCTGCCATATGCCACTTACAGATCAACACTACAGAAGTCTGCGTCACTCTTCACCTCATCAGGATTTACAAGGTGGCCCACATTCAAGATGCAGTAGTGCGTGTTTATGACTACTACGTTCCAAGTGAGTTCTCATAAACGCCTTTTTACTAAAGTGAATCAATCTGGCAAGGCTAAAATCATTCAATTCTTTTACAGCCAGAAAAGCTACTCGGACGTACAACCTGCAACACCTTCACGACCTGGATGTGTGTGCTTACTGTGGGGAGGACTGTGAGCTGTGTAAGCCTGGGGTCTCCATCATTGTGGCCGGAATCACGTCCCGTTCTGTCATTAGCGCCACCTACAGTTTGATTTCTCTTCTCATGACTGTTTTTCTGATGGCCGGATAATTGTATCGAAGAGTTTTTATATAAAGGACATTTATGTTTATGTGCAATGTTATCTGAAGGTGTAAGTTTTGGTTCCAAATGATGAATTACAAATGTTTTATTGCAATAACCAAATGTGAAAAGCTGTGAGACGGTTTGTGTACAGTGTGTGTTAGCTGGGGAATGTATGCCAGATACAGAAAAGTAAAACAAGGCAAGTTTATTTGTATTGCACAATTCATACGCAAGGCAACTCAAAGTGCTGAACAAAATAATATAGCATTAAAATATATCATATATAGCAAAAAAAATAATACTGCTTCACTTCACTTCACTTATGATGATTGATTTATGTAATGTGTTTATATATTCTGAATGATGCAAGAGAGCATTTGAAGTTCAAGCATTGACAAAATGACTTCAAATCCTGGATGCACAGACAAGCCCCTTCCTGGGCGGCTCGTGATTCTTAATGTGGGTGGTTACAAGGAGGAACAAGCTGTCTTTATTTGGTTTATACCCATGAGACGTTTTTCATTGGAAACAAGCATCATATCTCATTCAAACATCACACACCTCAAAACAATCTAAAACAAAATCCATCCAAGTTCTTCCTTGTTATCCGGTTTTAGCGTAAGAACAAGAATATTCAAAATCATATTATAAGATTATAGTAATACCTGGTGAAAGGCAGGTAATATAAGGTAATATAAGGTAGTGAAAATGCAATACAACAGTTTAGGCCCTGCTCCCAGATTTTGTTTTTTATAGTGTTACTTAAAACATGAAGGAAAATGTAACGATGCATATAATGTTGTAGGATAATATTTAACAGTTGTTTGTATATGAAAGCAAATTTTATGTTTTGTTGTATATTGAAAGTGAATAATTTTGAATGAAAAAAAAAAACGTCTTTTTTTGTTTTTTTGCTTCACTACCTCTGACAGACAGCAGTAATATATGGAACAGGAGGCCTTCACATGTGCATTTTGTTATCATCTTGGCTGAAGAACCAGACGTGCAAGGCTGCCTAGAGCCACAGAAGGACGGGAGGAAGATTTATTGGACAATCTACTGTACTTACTTGGCTGGAGGAGCTATTAAACAGCCAGGCATGAGAATGCATAATATTTTCACTTATGATGATTGACGCCAGTTTAAATACCTCTCAGACTGAATAAGGAATCAAGGGGAACAGTGGTCGTTTGCACATGTAAACTATCAATGCAATAATTAGATTAGACATGAAAGATGGAGGTTTTTGTAAGAATAAGCCTGTTGTGCTTTATGCCTCCCGGTCCCTGATCATTTCCAAGATAAATAGATACCACGCAGCTCTCATGCGATCTTTAGCATGTGAATACATACAGTATGGTTGCACTGTAGATGCTTTTGAATCGCCACTTAACCCTTTAAGGATCACCTAATTTCGCCTGTTCCTTTTCGAATTATGATACCCAAATGGAAATGCTTATTGTGTGGACATCTTGTGTCTGATGTTGTGTTATGATGCCTCATTTTAAAGGTAACACCTTCTAGTTTCTGGAAATGTATGTTACAGTTTGTTAGGAAGGACACAGTCTGCACTACAGCTTCTCAAACATGAGTCAAAGTTAGTTTTTTTGTCTCAAAAAAAAGAAGGCAATTTCAAAAGGTTCTCCTGAAGACATACTTTATGGTATGTTGTTCAAACTCACCAGAGCAGATGTTTGTGGTGTTGGCAACACCTGTATGAAATTTTAGACCTTTAGGTGGAACTATTTTGATGCTGGGGGCTTTTTTGTGACTAATGGGCACATTCGGCACAAGTGGTCCATTTTTGTGCCAACTGTGCCAAAGTGTTTTACATGCAAATTATCAATGTTTTTACACCAAAAATCTAATTATATCATTTTTTGGCTATTACTTTTGCTATAAATAGCATTTTTTCCAGATATTGAAATGTTTGCAGAAAAGCTATTATTTATATAGGTATAGCGCGTGTTCTCCGTGAAAGAGGCTCCGTCACGCATTCAAATATGACTGGAACTGTGGGAGGAACCTTGAAGTCCGACACATCGCTTGAAACCTGAGATTATTGGCTACAAGATGATTTGATTGACATCCAAATCGGCCAATGGTAGTCAAGACAATGCTGTCGTGACGCACAGATATCTATATGACTGGAGCGCTAAAGCTAGGTGCGCTTGTTTTACTCAACTTACTCTACCTTCCAAACCATAGCACTGAAAAGTCCGGGAATGGGCTTGTTTTGAAGGGGAGGCTTAGGGGAAGACGAACATACCCAGTGACGCTAGGTAAATAGTAAAATGTTCTCTTCATACAGTGCGCAAAGAACAGGTTTTGTTTTTGTTTGTGCAACTTTCAATACTCAAATATGTTGTTACAAGTGGATATCTACTATAAGGATAACTTTGAAGAAAAAACAACTGGATATAATTATTCTCTAGACCAGCCATTCCCAAACTCAGTAACACCGAGGCCCCCTTAAAAATCTGACGGGTCTGCGTGGCCCCCCAAAAAAATAACCAAGAAGACAACATTAAGAATAGGCTCTTCTGGTTATTTTATTTTGGGGAAATAGCCTCTGCTACAAACATCGTAATACAAAAATGATTACAGTGGATTATTCAAGTCAAATAATGAACAAATATTTTAATATTACAAACAAAACATTATAAATTTAACATTAAATAATTATATATTTTTTTTATGCCCTCCCGCGGCCCCCCTGCAGTACCCTCGCGGCCCACCAGGGGGCCGCGGACCCCACTTTGGGAGACACTGCTCTAGACCCTAACGAACAAAATTAATGCACACATGTGTGGATTAGACGTGATTTGCCCCAGAATATTAGCATGACAAGGTAAGAAACGACAATATATATCCATCCATCCATCCATTTTCTACCCTTTAATCCATTTCTGGGTCAGGGGGGTGGCAGTCAGAGATGCCACCCAAGTCTCATAGCACCAGCCCCTCACTGACCCTCTGCAGGTGGTGAGTCCACAGGAGGACGGCTGCTCTCTGAGTGTGAGCATAGCCTTGATCTTTCAGTGGGGGCTTTAGGCAAAGTGGGGTTAAGTGTCTTGCCCAAGGACACAACGACAGCAGTCATCAGTGGGAGTCGGTGGAGAAGGTGCAGAGGTGGGAATTGAACCCTACCATTGGTATTGAATGCTCTACCAACTGAGCTACTGTCGCCCCCTGTCGACAATATATATTTTATATATAAATACAGTTTGACTACTTATTCTTACTTTTGATTATATTTAATGTTTATTTGAACATAATACGCGTTTAGAGGTGGGAATAAGCTTTCAAAAGAGATATAGCTTGACTATATTGACACAAGTGAATTCTAATACTGATGCTGTTAAATGAAAAATTACTGAATCCTCCCTGTACAGGGAGGGTGATCCTTAAAAGGTTAACAGATTTACCAATATTTTAAAAAACGATCAAAAATCAACAGTAGCTGTCATAGAGCACAGCAGCTCATTGAACAAGTAAGCCAGTGTTGTGCAAGGGCTGTATTTATAACATAAGAGATACTTTATACGTCCCACAGTGGGGAATTTTCAATGTTGCTACGCACACAGGGTAAGTAGCTGCCATGTTTGTTAGCCATTGGCTTCAATATCAATCTTTCAGAAAAAAATATATATAGCGCAAAGTTATATACTGGGTAACAAGTAGATTCAGTGACATTCAATGGACATTCTGAAGTTGCAGTATTTACTGTCAGTCATGGTCCACATAGATGTTAGTTTTTCCAGGACCCTCCTGTCTCCCACCTGCTGCACTTTGTTTATGGAACAGCCCAGGACTGAGCTGGACTTCCAAAATGACCTTGTCCAGCTTCTTCCTGTCCCTCTCAGTGATGCTGCTGCTCCAGCAGACCACACCATAAAAGAGGCTAATGCCCCCACAGAGTCATAGAAGTTCTTCAGGAGTGGCCCCTGCACTCCAAAAGACCTGAGCCTCCTCAGCAGGTAGAGCCGGCTCTGGCCCCTCTTGAAGAGGGCGTTTGTGTTATGAGTCCGGTCCAGTTTGTGGTTCAGATGAACACCCAGGTACTTGTAAGAGTCCACTCTCTCAATGTCCTTTCCCTGGATGTTCACTGGGGCTAGAGTGGCAGAGTGACGTCTGCGGAAATCCACCACCATCTCCTTGGTCTTCCCTGCGCTGAATACTCAAGGGTGAGAGGACAGTCCCCTATGGGCCCCCCATATTGCAGGTCAGAGGCTCAGACACAAAGTCCCTGGTTCTCACAAACTGGGGTCTGTCTGAGAGGTAGTCCAGGATCCACTTGGACAGGTCCTGGTACACTCCAACTGTCTCCAGCTTGTCCCTGAGGATGGTGTTGAAGGCGCTGGAGAAATCAAAGAAGAGGATTCTCACAGCGAGCCGGGCTTCTTCAGGTGGGACAGCGAGGGTGATGATAGCGTCCTTGAGTGGCCTTGAGTCAAACTAAATTAACGTGATAACATTATATTGATGTGGTTTATAACATTGATAGACACAATCCCAACCAAAAGTTTGATTTCCATAATCAACTGTTTGAAAACCAACACACCATCCCTCATTACCTGGATACAAATGTTAACTTTTCAAAAGTTTTAATTATTTATTGGGCGGCACTGTGGATGGGTGGTTAGCACCCTCGCTTCTCAGCAAGAAGGTCCTGAGGTCGAATCCCGGTCGGAACTTGGCCTTTCTGAGTAAAGTTTGCATGTTATCCCTGTGTCTGTGTAGGTTTCTTCTGGGTGCTCCGGTTTCCCCTATACTGAAATAATTGCATTACAGGTATGAATGTAACAAGTGAATGAGTGGTTGGGGACTTTGAGGCCAGTTTGCTCGGTGTCTCGCTTCTGTCATCACCGTGTGGAGACAATGGAATATTATTTGAACTCTGAACATTGTCAAGTGCTTTGGGTGACCTTGGTCGATAAAAGATGTCTAAATAGAGATTACTTATCAAGATGTGATGAGAACTAGTCCATTTAAAATAAAGTTTA